TCTAGGCTCAAAACAGGCTAGTCTAATGTGACAGGAAGACCATAATAAATGGTGAAAACTGCAGCCCCATAACCTAGGCTGCCTTGTGTAGGGCCCTAGGGGCTTCCATAGGAGGCAGAAAACATTGGCTAGGATTCCCATTAGAGTGCTGAAACTACTCCTCCCAGGTGCAATTCTTGATGAAACAAAACCCATCTTAACTAAGATTCTGATCTTCGTTGAAAATGCTGGAGGCTCCCCTAGCTTCTTTCACTTCCCAGCTGCGCGGGGGCATGGCTTTCCTGCAGACTGCTGCTATGTACTGGTATGTCCAGAACTCCCAGTGAAAGTCTGAAATAGCACCTGTTAGAACCCAAGCAAATAAACCCTGGGTCCTAGGTATATCTCAAACCACCACCGCTAGACCTACCTGTTTAAGTCCCTTTATCTCATCCCAGACCACTCTGCCCTTTGCTCTCTGTGCTCCCACCATCATGGCCTCTACCCTCCTGATTCTTAAGCAAATCTGTTCCTACCCCAGGGCCTTTGCTCTGACCCTCTGCCTAGAACACTTTATCCCTGACTCTTTATATTGCAAGCAAACAGGGCAAGTAAAATGAGGTCAGAGAAAAAGCAAAAAGCAAACTCCCTGCAGGAGAGTCCGAGACCCAAGGGTTGAGAAGGAGACCAGCTTTCCTCACCCAGTAGTCCAAGGTAAAGGGGGTCAGCCTAAGGCCAAAGTTGACATCAAGGAGGCTTTCTGTCAACAAGGGGGCTGTGAAGCAGGTTGCAGAAGGGACTAAGCATGCCACATAGCTACCTGCAATTCTAGGATCCTGCCATCCTGATATGTCACATAAAATAGATAATACAAAAAAAGGGGCCTGTATGTTCTAAAAATATGTTCCCATCAAGCCAGTCTGTGTCCAGATCTTGATTAACTTAAACCAGAGCTTCTCAAGCTTTTCTACTGAGGAGTCTTAAATTTGCCTGACAAGAGATTGGACCCGAAGCTGAGCTAGATGACAATATGGAGCCAGAAATCCATTACATAAGGAAAGCCAATTCCAGGAAGATTGGATTTTGAGCCTCTGTCTCTAATAATGACAGAACCCAAAGGTGCTGACACTCAACTTTCCCCACCATTCCAGAAGAACAGAGAAAGCCCAGTACAGACATCAAGAGAAAAGAAAAACGGGAATGAAAAACCAAAGCCAAAATTTCTCACAACACACCCGGGGTCCGCTGTCATGTTCTACAGAGAAAGCACTATCTTCATCCCATTTTTTTGAAGACAAAGTCATGGTGCTATTCCCCAGTAGCCAAAGCCTCCCTGTTCTATCACAGCCAGTTCTCAGACTAATATCCCTGCAGTCAACATTCAAAGGTCAAGGGGGAGACAATGCCCCAACTTAATGTAGCAAAGCTAAAAGTACAGTAATACCTTGGTTTGCGAGCATAATTCATTCCAGAAACAAACTACTCATATTGCAAGACATCACCCGTTTACCATGTTACAATGCATTAGAAATGTTTGCTCATCTTGCGGAACACTCGCAAACCAAGTCACTCGCAATCCAAGGTTTTACTGTATCTTTAACTTCCCCATCCAGTCCCTATTCTAATCTTCACACCTTTGTAAAGGTTTTAGCATCTTCCCAGGCTTTACCTATTCCGTCTTCAACCTGCCCCGCATATCCAATATGTCACCAAGTCCTGTAAATCGCATTGCAACAAACCTGACTATTTACTCCTCCTGTGCAGGTTAACTGACCCCAACAGCTCAAATCCTCATTAACTCGTCTCATAAAGCTCTACCACAGGCCTAACTGGTCTCCCCTGTTTACAGGCCATCTCTCTGTCCACTGCTTGGACAACATTCCTAAAATCAAAGGCCTAATGATGCTCCTCAGTGAAAGGCAGCAGGTTCCAGGATGCCTATAAGACACATTCTAAACACTCCGTGCTGTGACCGCAGGCCACCACTCCAGACTCATTCTGGTCATCGACTACTGTGTTTGCTCCTATACCAAGTCAGGCAGCTCCTCTCCAGCCCATGCATACTTTCCCTTCTCCTTTGACTTGATTCCCACTATACTTCTAATTGGCTGCTCATCTCTGCTCAACAATATCACCAACCACCTCCTTCCCTCAGAGGACAAACTAAGAAAGAAAGCAAACAAATCACAGGCAAGGGCACTGTATGATCCGTGGTCTCAGAAGCAGTATGGGCTTAAAAAGGGGGCACTGCCTTCCTCAGACACCGAAGGCCACTTGCTTGCTAAACTACACTGAGTGAGCCCTTCGCCTTTCTGACCTCAGTTTCATCTTCTGTAAAACGTATCTGCCCTCCCACCTACGCACAGAATTATCAAGACAATCAAGCAGGAGAAAGTGTGTCAAAAAGCTTGTGGGGGACAGAACTAGTATGTAGCGGGAAATTTATAGTTTTAAATGCTTATATTAGAGGGAAAAAAGCCTGAAATGAGCTGAAGCACGTTCCTAAGAAGCTTGAAAGTAATGCAAAATTCCAAAAGAAACAGAGGAAGGATATTGTAAAGTAGAAATTACAAAGAAAACAAACACAAAGGGAGGGATCACCAAATCCAAAATACAGCTCTTTGAAAAAGTTATTAAGGTTGTTCAGATGTTTCTGTAAACTATGATGAAGCAAAATAAAAACGAGCTATTATTATCCAATAGGGATGAAACTTCAAATAAAAAGGGCTGAAGTAAGAGTTTCCTTTTTGAAAGAGCTTCTCAACCTCAGCACTACTGACATTTGGGGCTGGATAACTGTGTGTAGGAGGGGGTTGTCCTGTGCACTGTAGGATGTTTAACAGCATCCCTGGACTCTACCCACAAGGTGCCAGTAGCATTTCTCCCCCACCGCCTAGGAGTCGTGACAACCCAAAATGTCTTCAGACATTGTAAATTGTCCCGTGGGAGGCAGAATCATCCTAGGCTGAGAACCACTGCTCTAAGAAAACAACAGGGCCACTTCACACTATGCCAACTAAGACTAGATTATTCATAGCTATTCCTAATTTTAGAATAGCTGGTTGTTCTGCCCATTAGGACTGTGGGATGACCAGCAGGCCAAGGCAGCAAGGGCAAGACTGAAGAGCTAGGCAGGTCTTGGCTGTTTCAGCAAAATTGCAGAGTGCTCAAAATGAGAGGACCAGAAAGCTTCAAAGGCTAAAACAGAGTTGAGGAGCTGCAGCAAGTAACAGAAGCATCACTTTTATTTGGCAGGGGTCTGTGTGTCTGTGTGTGTGTGTGGTGGGGGTGTTTAGCTCTAACACTATAGTGAAACATAAAACATAAAAATGGCCTTTGAATCAAATTCCAAGAAGAGTTAGATACCCTGCACGGCAAGGGGAGGGGCCAGTACCCATGGCACATTTTTTTTATCACTCTGAACTTGATAAGCAATGAAAATAAATCATTTCAAATTTTTAAGAAATTATTTCATCTGAGAAGTGTATAAATCTTTTTTGAACACACTCCAATTCACATCCACACTATTTTGAGACAAATAACAATTAAATTCTTGCCACTTCTAAATAAATAATAGTAAAGTCCTGAGAAGTATATCATATAATTTTTGAATAATTAAGAATCTGATAAGGAGAAAGGATTTCAAGGAACAAAGAAGGAAGATGTGTGTGTGCGCAAGCGCGTGTGTGTGTGTATCTCCTTTATAATCACCAACAGCACCTAAAACTCAATCTAAACCTGAAAAGAGTTCTAGGGATATCTGAAAATATAATTCTGAGGACCCAAATGATAAAAGGCAAAACGTGATGCAGATACCTGAGGACGCTAACACCAACTCAGGAACTCCGAGAGCCGAGCGACACACAGTCTGCTGGTGCCCTCACGCCACTACCTTCCATTACGTCTACTCATTCTACTCCACAGGAAGAACTACAGGACCAGCTGAGGGGGAGGCTCCAACTGACGAAGCTAACAGTGGACCGCAAATTGCGGTCAGGGGCAGGGCAGGGGGATGAAATGCTAATTTCCCTGCCAGAGACGAACTGGAAACGGGGCAGAGACTTCTAGACAGTATAAATGAGGGAAAACTGATCCCTGAACCACATGGGAGCTGTTAGGAGGAATGAGAACTGAGGATAGTAACATCAGCGAAGAAAGAGGATCAGTGTTCACTGTCGTGGAGAATGGCCGAGCGCACTTTTCCTAAGCTCCCTCAGATCTGTTCCTCTAGGATGGTCTGTTATAAAGAGACAAACTTTATGCCTCAATCAAGAGGAAACTACAGATAACTAAATCCTATGCCATGAGAGGCTGGAATTAACTGAGCAGCTCTCTGTGGCTGGCCAGATGGTCTATCGCTGAAGATGAGAAGTCATCCAGTGCTACTTCAACAAGTTGGGGGCAAAGGAAGGGGCCCCCAAGCAGGCGTCCAGAGGGGGCCTACCAGCTACGGAGGTGCAGTTCGCTCCCAGCAGGAGCTATTTACAGTCACTGAAGCAGCTGGAGGCAAAGTGGCCCCGCAGGAGACGCAATCAGCTTTCTGCAGTTGTGAGCCTATCTGAGAATCTCTCCCCAAGTAAACCCCTCATGTCCACACAAGCAGAATTGTGAGTGTAATTTCACAAAACTCAGACCACTCACTGTTACCCCCTCGCCTACCTGCGGCCACGTCATGGGTCCACGACCCCCAGACCACAAAATGTGACCACAGGGCTTCTGCCACTGACCCCTGCATGACTTGGGCAAGTATGCTCCCCTCTCAGATCTTTGGACCTGAGTCTGCATGGTTGTCCAAGACGAACACGCTAAATAAACGCCGAAGGTCCTTCCAGCACTAAAGCGAGGCTCATGCACAACAATCCATTTCCTGGGAAGGAGCACATGAGCTGTTGCTGCTGTGTTTCCAGTCTGTCTTCTCATGATGGATGACCTAAGAAATCCAAGTGGAAGCGCGACGCTCTCCCAGCAAAAACACCATGGGAAGAAAAGCTAAGGCAGCAGAGGCTCCCAGAGCCGCTCACCTTCCAGCAGGTCCTCCTCGTCTTCCTGGCCGAGCTCCCCGACTGCCACCTCCTCCTCCTCCTCCTCCTCTTCCTCATCCTCCTGCTCCACGTCCGGGTCCAGGTCCGGGTCGCTCCCTGAGGCGGATTCGTCTGACATGGCTCCCAGAGGTCCTCAGTGGGCATTACCGACTCATGGTCCACTGCAGGGGTCCTGGGAGGAGGATAAGAGGGATCAGAGTCACCAAGGGCTCCACTAAGGAGCGGGAGGGAACCTTTCAAAGGGAAAATGCCAAGGATGAATTCCCTGGAGCTTTTCTAGGCAGGGCCAGCTAACCATACCCACGTTTCAATCTTCCCCACAAGTGCGCTGGCCCTGCCATACGTACTGGTGACTCTCTGCCCAGCACAAACTTCTCTTAGCTGCTTAGACAATATCTTCAAGTGACCAAATAAAACCACACTGTCGACCTCAGAATTCCCATTTGTTCCTTCCTTCATGCTTCAACTATTCCCTGAGCACCAACTCTCTGTATCTACATATATCTCTACATATACACACATATGGCTATATAATCCCAGGCACTATACTGGGCTTTGGGGACATGGTACAAAGCAGAACAAAGCATGCTGGGGAGTGCTGGAGGATGGTACGTGCCAGAAGGAGCAGCATTTTATATGGGCTTGGGGATGGGTAGGGAAGTTATTACTGAGCAGAAGCCAGAAGGAAGAGGGAACCACACAGACACCTGGAGGGGGTGTTCCAGGCACAGTGAGCAGCAAGGGCGGAGCCCTGGGCAGGGAGTAGCTGGGAGTGCTGTGGAAACAGGAAGTGGGTCCTGCCTTGGAGCACAACAAAGACAGTCCACTCACTCTCCGCTCACCTGAACAAAGAGCTTTCAGTGGCCAGCGGGCTACTCATCACACTGTCACTCCTCCTCAGGCTCTCATGACTCAGAACACCCCCGTGCCCATCTCTGCTCTTAGGCTCTGTCCTACCTGCTGGCTCAGTTCCAGGTCCATTTCTTCCAAAAAGCCTTTGTCAACTGCCCCAGCCTTTTGGGATCATATGTCCTCTTCTGAACTGCAACAGCCATGCTGACCTTCACCGAAGGCTTCATGGGGGCTACCTGGCAAAGTGCTTTGCCTCCTTTGGTGTGCCTGCTCCTGGACCAACAGTAGGTCCCTAAGGGCATGGATTTAGCTGGGAATTGTTTCTTTGTATCCTGGAGCCAGAAGCATGTCCTAATTCAGGTCATTCATTCATTCACATTCACTTGTTCATTTGCCAACCTGCTCTATTATTTCTAGAATGTGCCAGGCACTGTGCATGTCTGTCTGTCTGTTTCTCTTTCCACTTTACTAATAGCTACAAAGGTCATTTCATCTTGAGGGGGGAAAAAACAGGTAATGAGAAAACCAGATGGAGTGCTCTGTGATACAGCAAATATAGCAAAATGTTAACATAAAGATTCATTGACCAGTTCTTTCAGTTTTTTCTGTATTTTTCAAATTCTTCACAATAAATGTGGGGGAGGGGTATAAGATAAATAATCTTTTACAAGACAAACTGCTGCAGACAACCACAATCAACAATCAGGCCATCCTAAAATTCCTCCCATCTCCCAAAATAAAAACTGAAGCCTCTAATTATTCAACACAAAAACTGTTCCAGAACTGAAATCTCTTATTAAAGTGCAGACACAACTTGAAACAATGTCTACCTTCCCCTGAACAGAAGCAGAAACAAAATGAAGCAGGCTGGATCCTTTGGAGTTTTCCCTACCACTTAAGTTTAAGACTCCTGCTCAGTTTAAAGCCACAGGAATTGTGAGTGTGTATGTAGTGTTCCTAGCCTCTTAAAACAACTAAAGCAAAGAACAACTGTGAAATAATTTAGTAATTAAATGTAAATTTTAGCATTAATAACACACTTCCAAAAACATCTACAAAGGTGCAGGGAAAACAGGTGATCCACAAATACAAATTAATATAACTACTGCTGAGCTATCATTCATTGAGTGACAATGCAGAGTCCAAATCTTTGAGGGAATGACTAGCTTATATCTTCAGTTCATTGGGTTTTAGATAGGATGTATTAAATCAATTAGATATCAGCCGTTTTGGAAGTGGAATTTATTTCTGAACATTAGTATGATGATAATTCATCAGCAACTACTCTGGGTCTGGAAGTCAGTGTTCATAATCAGCGTAATCCGTTTCTTCCTAGACTGCTTTGAGATAAGTGTTTTGCTTACAGTGTGCTTGGCTGATTATGGAGTGGCTTTTAGAGAACAGTTTTTTAATTAGCAAGTACCTTTAGGTAATCCAAATGCCTGTCATTTTAGAGAAAAAAATTGTGTGGTGCTGGAAGAATGACGATCACTTAGAGGTAAGCAATAACAAGGAAAAGTGTCCTGTAAACCCCCAGTTAACGAACGTCTTCAAAATAACCTCAGCCCCAAGTCCTGATAGAAGCAAGCATCAATTAAACATCCAACAACCACACGTACTATTAGAATAGGAGAGACACTGCTCCAGCCTCCTACTCAAAATGTTTTAACAACAGAGGACACTTTAAAATAGCACCCAGGCTATCAGAGGCCCATAACAGAGAAGCACTAGAAAGCGATGGATTTCTGAAATCCCACCAGATTTGGTTTTTCTCTTTCCCTCCCTTCCATGAGCCACTAAATTTCTTTCCAGAGATGACACAAGGAACTATACCAACTACTTAAGGGGAAGGTTTTATTGTTACTGATCTCCTTCAAAAAAACAACAAAGACAAAACAGCAGGGGAAACGTTGATCTTGGGGGCAGCAGCCCCGTCAGTTACATTCTGTCCCTAAGGGGCTCCCCCTGCCCTCCACACAGACACTTCCATGTGGGCACAGCCTTTCAGAACACAGGGCAGGCAGCCTGATTCAGAAGTTAGCTCTCAGTGGAACTGTTAGACACCAGGGGAGCAGCTGATAAGAAAACCTGAAGAAAACCTGCGTCTGCCCTTTTGTTTCCCATTCCACGGGAACACTGCTGCAGCCTCCAGTGAAGAGGAGTAGTTCTGCCTCTAAAACTGAGAAACTAGGAGAGGGCTGATGGATGTGCCACACCTTAATGAGGACCTGGATTCCACAAAACAAATTCTGGGAATCAAATTCTATTTTAATGAAGCTGGACAACCAGCTAAAGGAACACTAAGGAGAACCACTCTGAAAAGCAAATATTCAATCCCCAAGGAATGTGTTAATATCTACAGTTTAATATATTGGGTTTGCTAAAAGGAGGCTATAATTATGAAAAAATCTATAGCGAATCCCAGTCTAGCCCCTCAGAGCAATCTTGAGAGTGTAGGAAAAGGTACTTCTGCCCTGCTAAGTTCAAAGACAAGGACACCTGTCTATAGAGTGGCGCCTGGCCAAGAATCAGTGGAATTAATCATGCGGGCATGGTCCTTAGGCACACCCCTGGCAGGGAGAGTACACAGGAAGAAAAAAACCACAAAGACACAC